CCGCTGTCCTGCTTTTCCCTGTCGGCGCTCGGAGAGCCCGCTCGCGGGGTCGGGGAGGGGTTTTGGGGTCCGCGGGGCTTCTGCTGCCACGAAACTATTTCAGCGTCTCCATCTGAGCCCTGAGCACCTGAGAGTTCCCTCCCCAGGGAGGAGGGAGCAGGGACACCGTGGTGTCCGAATTCACCCTCCTGGGAGGGGCAGGGGGGGCAGATCCCAGGGGAGAGGAGGGAGAGGGGGATGCTCCGGGCACAGGGAGGGGATTTGTGAGGCCGAGGTTTGGGTCAGGGGGGCTCAGGGCTGTGAGGAAGCTGCAAAGTCATGGATGAATTGCCCACCCCGTGAGGGGCACCCGGCAGTCGGGGCATCCCTGTGCTCTCTCCCTGCTCACACAGGCTGGAGGTCGGGATGGGGAAGCAGCCGGTGGGAGGGGAGGCTGGAGGTGATTCGTGGGGCTCCCCGTTCCCATGCCTTGAAACTTCCCGAGCTCCCTCCTCATCCCACCCACGCTGCCCCAGTGGCTGCTCCAGCCCTGCTCCACTCCCAGCAGTCCCAGCATCGTTCCTCTGGCTGCACTGGGGACTATTCACGGGACACTGTCATCTCTCCAAGGAAACACTGGTTGCTTTGAGGATGGCAGGCAGCAGCCTCTGCACCCTCTGGCTTTCCCCAGACCCTCAGCACAGCTCAGCTCCTCCCAGGCCACCCCAAAACGGGCCCACCAGAAGCTCTGAGGGCACAAAGCACAAGCACAGGCTCTTGCATGAGATTGAGAAGCAAGTTTGCATCCAAAAACGAGCCTCTCGAGGCCAGATAGTTGGTCCTGAGCACACCCAACAGCTAAAACAGCCCCAGAAGCCACTTGCTTTGCTCACCCAGGGAAGCAGCGGGTCCCAAACTTTGTAGGAATAGCTGTGCTTCCCAGGGGGGGATCAGAATGACCCAAAAGTAAAGGAAACAAAGCAAAAGGGTCATGTCCAGCCCAGCTGCTCCTGGGGCACAGGTGGATGGAGGCAAAGGGATGCCAACGCTCTCCTCCACCCCCTGATCGACTCCCACCAAACAGAGCAACCACTTCTGTCACCCACAAAGGCAGAACCCAGGGGTGTCACTAGGGAGGCATTTCCCACACTCCCCCCAGCTCCACCTGCACAGGGAGGCTCCCTGGAGCTGGGAATCCACGTGGAGCTGAGCTCACAGTGAAGCCCAGCCCGGCTGTTCAGCCACGCTGAATGCTCTGTATACGTCCAAAACCCAAATTATCCGTGAAAACTCGTGGATTCTGACGAGAAGCAGAGACCTCCCCGCGTCTCTCAGCAGCCCCTGAGAGCTCCAAGGTCTCCCCCAGCACTTTGTCCCTGGCACTGGCTGTGCCAACCCCCCCAATCCGGGAAGGTTTGAAGGTGCTGGGATGACACAAACCCACACAGCCACCTGGAAAACATCTCCCCTGCAGGGATCTCCCGACAGCTCCCAGGCAGCAGCACGGGGCTCCCTGCTCAGCTGAACAGAGCTGGGGGAGGCAGGGAGGGATCCACGGCCTCTGGGGTGGCTCCTGGCTCTGGGATGGCTCCT